GGAACCGACCGAATTGCTGAAGAGGCAAATACGAATTATTTGTGAAAATTTTTTATTTAAACTATATTCATTACCAAAAATAAATTAATTTTTAATTTTTTTAAAAATGAAATTATTTAATTTAAAATAAAAAATAATATTTAATATAAAATAAAAATTAACTAAATAATTAATTTTAAAATGAAAATTAATTAAATTGTTAATATAAGTTTTAATAATTTCTTTTAAATCATTTAAATAGTAAAAATTTTATTCATTTTATTAAATTTTTAATAGCCGCCGGAAAGGTGAAAAAGTTGCCGGAAATTTCGCCGGAAAATTCTGTGGAGAAAAACCGTTAGAAATGCGCCGGAAAGCCGCCGGAAAAGCCACCTGAAATCAGAGATTTTCTTGTAGTGACAACAGTCCTTCTAACTAACGTCACCCGCCGACTACAACCCTTCTAGCCTCCGTCGCCCTCCGACAACAAACCTTCTGCTAACGTCGCCCACCGACTACAGTCCTTCTGACCTCCGTCGCTAGCCAACTACGATCATTCGACTTAAGTCGCACACCAACTACAGTCCTTCAGACAAAACAAACACATCAACAATGATGCTTTGTATTCTCACCATGTAATGTATTCTATAAGATGCATATCAAGCTAAGGCCTTCCCCCGATGAAGGACCTCTTTTTTAATCAATTACAATACTAGTGTATTCATTAATTCATATTTGGTCAGGCCCTATAGTTTTCCCCCTTTTTTTAGGGATTTTCCACGTAAAAATCTTGGTGTCTTATAAATGTTACACATCCTCTCTCTTATCTGATTGCATGCCGGATTTTCGTACAAAGCTAAGACGTTAAGCTTTATATTTCTCTACCGCCACGAACTCCAGGATGCAATAATAACAATATAACCAATTATGCATATTGAATTAGATATATTAAATGGACTAAAAAAATTCATTTTCAAATTAAGCTAGAAAGTGATATTTGGCCTTATAGATGATACATATACTCTCTTTATTTAATTTTTATATGCCAAATGTTAATTTAAAATTATTAAAATTAATTGATATGTCACCAGAAATCACATTGATTGAGCATAAATCTTGAGGCATATTTAAGTTCACATCTTCGAGAATTAAATCTTACTCCAATTTCAGCAAACTCATAGTCAAATTGAGCATCCTAGCGAGGTGAACCCAACGACACCAAAATTGGGTTAATTTAACCCCAATGGGCTCAAATCAAGAGCTTAAAGCATATTAGAAACATTTAGAGCATTAATTAAATGACCAAATGATATCAAAATAAAGCATGCTTATAATTGAATCAAGCAGCTCGATGAGATGAATCCAACGAGACCAATATCATCACTTGATTTGGATATCATTAATGCAATATAATTAAATGCTAAATGAATGGTCTATAATCAAGGGAATTAATATGGGACACCCAATGAAGCACTCTGATTTTGCCCTGAATCTTCTCCATATTTATAGAGCATCTGACTCAAAATCTATAAATATACTCCCACTCTCTACATGAGGTAAACCATTGGCTGGAGATTTGAGAGGCCTCTGAGGCTTCAAGGATCTAAAGCTCCACCCGAGCGCCACCGCAGACAAACTTTTCTATAGTACCGCCCTGTCGCTGACAACTGCCAAACCTCTACTGGCCTCCTACTAACGTCAGACCTCCGCCCAGCCGTCACCCAACCTCCGCGTAGCCGCCCACACTTCCCCTGACTGCGTCCTAACCTCCACCCAACCGCCAACTGCTATCGGATTTCTGCCCGGTCTTTAATTGACACCAAACATCTACCTGGTAGCCATTCACCACTGAACCTTTGCTCGACCCCCACCGAACCTCCTCCTGGTCGTAGACCCTGCCAGGGTCAGACCACCACAGCTCAACCGCCGACCATTGCTCAACCTCCGATAGTCGTCATACCACATCCCAGTTGTCGATCTTCGGCAGGCCACCGCCCGGCCATCTACTGCCACCGGGCCTCTGCCTGGACACCGTCGGATCCTTCCCGGCAACTAACATCTGTTGGATCTTCTCCCAGCCGTTGCTACTAGACTCTAGACCTCGGCTGACTAACCACGATCATTACAAGCTCCTGAGTACCTATACAAAGTTAGACCAACTATCCAAACTGCTATAATTTCACCATCTCCAAAAGTTAAAGGACGGGTCAACCTGTGTAAATCACTTAAGTAAAGTGAAATTTCTTTTTCTGGGCAAGGCCAATGGTTGTTCCCTTTCCTAGTTTTTCACGTAAAAAATTTTTTGTGTTTCCTCTCTCTCTCTCTCTCTCTCTCTCTCTCTCTCTCTCTCATACACAACTATCTATATGTGTGATGGATATACATACACTGTTAAGATGAAAAACTATTTCACTTTAATAGCCCGCAATAATATATAATAATTAAGAAAGAGAGGTTACTTTAAACTTATAATTTATATTAATTAAAAATAGACTGTAAAATGATATGTAAGTTATATTAGATAATAAATTGATTAATTGAATGTGGCTTTTTGTGACATTAAAATGTTAAGAAGTCTCAAAATGTTGAGAGGGCCTCATTTTAAAACAAAGCTATTTTGTTGTTGTCTTGAACTTTTGAAGGAAAATTTGTCTTTCACTGTGAGTTAATGTTATGTTTGTAGATGTTTAATATTTTGCTTAGAATTAAAGATTTTGAAATCTAATTCCATAGAGAATAATTTTATGTTGCCAACTACTACTAATTCAAAAAAAAAAAATCCTGATGATTTGATACTAAGATACTGAGGTAATATAGAGAGAGAAAAATTAAAGTTTTATTATGATTTTGTCACATCCAAATTTAGTACACCTCATATTTTTTTTTTATTTTAATTCAAATAAACATAATATTATGATTATTTATTATAGGGGATTGCAATTACAGATTTAATATTTAAAATTTTATATTTGTTTATATAGTTGAATATCAAAATAAATGTATTTTAATAATTTTAAATAAATTAATAATATTTTTAATGTAAATACTTTTTAAATACTATAAACTAAATACATAAAAATAATATAATATTCTTGTAAATAGAAAAAAAAACTTTTAAATTTTGTACTAGTTAAACTAATTAGCACTAAATAATATTAACCACTAAAAAATCATTAAGACAAATGCTTTCCTGCACGTCATCGCTTTCTCCACCATACACTTGTCCTTCTCCTCAAAGATTTTTTTTTTTCACTATAAATGTACCTCACCACACCATCATTACCGCACAGCATCAAGAACTCCTCATTCCTCAAGCTTACTTTCACAATATCTCAACTTGGTTTTCTTCTAAGATAATTCTCATGCATGGATCAGAGCTCAAATGAGAATTTTGTTAATTCCATAGGTGCTTATTCGTTGAATTATTTGCCTGTCTGTAGAAGGAAAGAAGACCCATTTTTATAAATTTCCTTCATTTTCAAGTAAATTTGCATGACTTTCTGTTGTTTTGGTGCAGAAGAGAAGAGTCAGAGTTCAAAGCCTGAGTTCTCAGAGCAAGAAGTGGATCTCATTTCCAGGATGTATAAGCTGGTTGGAGAGAAGTTTGTAGCCTTTCTCCTTCTTTTCTTCTACTGATTACTGCAGAAAATTTCAATTTTTTTTATGTTGAACATATATTTCAGATGGTCTCTGATTGCTGGTAGAATTCCAGGAAGAACAGCTGAGGAGATTGAGAAGTACTGGAAGCTGAAAGAACATCGTAACAGTAGTCGTAGCTGAGGAGATAATTAGGATAAAATGATTAGACAATAACATCTAATATGTCATTTATGACGTATGTGAAAACTGAGTACTGTTACATCAATGATTTAGAAATTCCTAAGTGTATTGAATGCTGTGTTTGAAGGAAGCTCATCTTCATCTGTTATTGGTAGGAAGTTTTTGCTATCAACCACAATTTTGATCATTCAATATGTCAATAACAGCAACACTACCGTGGGTACATGAATTTTTTTTTTTTTTCATTCTCTTGTTAAAAGTCAAATTATCGATTAAATCTAATAAAGAATTATCATTTCTAATCTTTTCTAACCAAGTTTTTTTATATCTATCGCTATCTTTTTTAACATAAGTCAAATCTGATATCTCTACTTTCTTATCCGGGTCATCAGAAGGCCGCCGTTTTATGTGAACAAACTATCTAAGACGACTCTCTCTAATCTTATCATCAATCGGGAGCTACTCCAACCTTTTCACGATCATTCCTAAATGTCAAATATATATATATATATATTTTTTTTGGTGTGATCTGATCATTCCTTAAAAGTGAGAAATTTCTTATAAGAATTTTGTTTGTTTTTTAATTTCCCACGAGATATAAGACTTCGCTTTTTATTTATAAGAATCATTTGCAGTTCAGAAAGAAATATCTTACCTCTCTGATTCCAAATTTTCCCCATGCATGCCATGTTATCTTTATGAGCCAAAAGTTTCCCTATTTCTTCATCACCTGCAGGCGTTTTCAGTTTGTTTACGTGAATTGCTGTTGAGCTTCTGCTCTGATATCATGAAAGAACCTGTGAGAAAGCAGAGAATAACAGAGAAGAAGAGAGAATAGGAAGAACAGCAGAGAAAGTTTCTTTTTACTGTAATTACTGTTTCATTGATTTCTAAGTATTCTAATACATTAATGTGTATAAATAGAGCTATGTAAGGACAGTTTGTTATAGAGAGAATAACACACAACTCTCCTTGGTCTATTAGTTGAGAGCTAAGGCTTCCAACTAAGAGGTCTAAGGTTCGAGTCTATGTGTATGCGTCGTGTGTGTGACTTTACCTTAAATGACCTAAATGTCCAAAAAAAATAGAGAGAATATGCTGAGCTGCTGGTGGCAGACTGCAAGGGCGGACTGAGTGGAGCAGGTCCAGTGGCATGGAGGTGGTCCTCGTTGGCGTGTGGCTCATGAAATGCTAACAATATTTTGAGAAAATTTTTCAGTGGTGATTTTTGCTTTTGGAAATGGTGACAGCCGTAGTTCAATCTAATTGAAAACAATCATAAAGTTTAAATTTGAATAATTTGATGTTTGATTTGTTTGTTATTGATATGTCACAAAAAATTGGAGCATGGACGAGAATCATGAGGCAAATATGAATGGGTAACTTTCAAAATTAAATTTAAATTCATTCAAATTTTAATTTCAACATACTTATAGTCAAATTGAACATCTCATTGAGACAAAACCAATGGTATCAAATTCGGTCCAATCGGAGCTCAAATGGGCCCAAATCAAAGGTTCAAAATTTATTTGAGAGCCTCAAAACATTAATTGGATGATCAAATGATATTCAAATATGTCATGTTTATAGCTGAATCTAGAGGCTCAACGAGACGAATCCAACAAGCCCAAGATTGTTTGATTATGATATCATTAAGGCAATTAAATGATGAACAAATACTCTATGATTAAGGGAATCAGTATGGGATGTCCGATGAAACACTCCGAGTTTTCCCAAGTATGCTCCATATTTATGGGATGTGTCACTTTCAAAATCTATAAATAGATATTTACTCTCTACATGAGAAAGTGGGAAGACTTCGACTATGGGCTAGAGATTTAAGAAAACTTTGAGAATTGAAGAATCTCAAAGATCCACCCAACAACATTGCCGGTGAACCCTCGTCGCTCGGCCACTATTGTTGTCGAACCTCCGTCTGGTCGTCACCATCGGCTCTCCACCTGACCACCGCCACTTATTAATTGTGGTCCTTTTTATCACTATCGTCTACCGACTATAGTCCTTTCGACCTTCATCACTTGACACCTTTATGCCACGGTCCCTCTAACAATCATCATCCTACTATAGTTCATCTTACCTTCGTCACCTGCCAACTACGATCCTTCCGACCTTCTTCTGCCGATTACTATCCTTCCAACCTCCATCAAGTGCAAACCACGATCCCATTGACCACTGTTGCCCGACTACGGCCCCTCCCATCACCTTCGTAGGCTAGCTACGGTCTCTTCGACCACTATTGACCCCTGTTGCCTAGCTACCAACCACGATCCCTTTGACCTTTGTCGCCCACCATCTATGGTCTCTCAGCCACTGCCGCTCGCCGACTACGATCTCTCCAACCTGCATCGTTCGACTACGATCCTTTCAAACTCTGTTTCCCGTCAACTATGATCCCTCTGATCACCATCATTCGACTACGATTTTTCCTAACCCCCATTGCCCTCTGTCTGCAATCCCTCTAACATCTGTCACTTCAATACAAGACTACTGACTAAACGAACAAGTCAACACTCACTTGAGAATAGCTCTAGTGCCATTGGATTCTTCATACTATAACTATATAATGTGTTATATGCAATGTATATTTTCTACATTGAACCAACCTCCTCCATGGATGAAGGGTATCATTTGCATGTAATCAACAATCTAACACTAGTAGAATCATTTTATTGAGCTAGACCCCATGATTTTTCCCCTTTTCAAGATTTTTCACATAAATTATTGATGTCTCTTATGACTCTTACACCCTTCTCTCTTGTATATATGTGTGTATGTTGGATCTCCGTACAAAACTAGGACGCTAAATACTCCATCCCTCAACCATCGTGAATGTTTCGACATGCAATAGTTATAATGAATAATATCCTTTAGAGCTCATGAACTTGCTCTTTAAGAACTTGCAACTTTTAATTCTAGTTAAACTATTTGTTAATTTATGTAGTTGTTAGTTCAATTAAAATGCTATTTTTAAGCTCAATATACTGCTCATTAACCGGCTTCACAAACTCAGTTACCAAATAACCAACTCGATAGTGTTGCTGACACTACAGGAAAATCACCCATTTCCGGCGGCCTTTTCCGACGTAAATTGAACTTTTTCCGTCGGTTTTGTACTGTTCCGACGGTTAATTTTTCGCCGGTAAAAACGGCTTTGGAAAATAAATTCCGGCGGTTTTTTCCGGTGGACAATTATTCCGGCGGCTTTCCAGTGGTCTTAAACCGCCGTTCAAATTTAAAAAAAAAAAAACTCACAGCGACTGCCCCCCGCTCCTGGCGTCGCGCAAGTGCCCCTGCCCCCGCTCCGCCGGCGACTCGCTCCTGCTCTCGCTTCCGCGTCACCGGCGCTGCCGCTCCCACGCGCGTGTGCGCCCTCGCGTGCGCCCGCGTCCACGTAATGTAATTAATACACTCAATAATAAACTCATTTAATTGACTAAGAGGCAAAATCACTAGATAGTCATAATTTTAAATGAATAGATCTTGAATGTTATTATAAATATTTGAAAATTTAAATAAATGAACTAACATACTACGTAACATATACATAAGACTCGAACCTAAGATCATTTGATTGGTAATCAAAGCTCCTAACTAACAGATTAAGATGAGCTGAGTAATGAAATCAAGTTCAAATAAGCACATAAAAAATAAAAAATAAAAAGTTCTTATGAGCACATACTTCGCTCAACTTGTTTCATTTATAGCCTTATGTATAGCTCTCAGAAAAGAAAATGAGAAAAAGACCATCCCCAAAAAGGGACAAAATGTAGGGCCATAAAGTTTAATAACAGAAAAGGACTTAAATCTAGAAAACTTAGAAGCAGCTCGGATAAGACGAAGAAAACAAACAAACAAACAAAGCTTGGCAACGTGAGAACTGAGAGGCTCAGAAATTATTTCTGCAAGCAACAAGAACTTAGCATGCACAGAGGCATGGGCAGATTTAAGGGGGGGGGGCCTAGCGGGGCACGTGCCCCCGAACCCCCCACCCAATGCTCATTGGCTCTCACTCTCTCTTTCCATCTCTCTTTTACATATTCTCTCGCTAGTCTCTTGCTCTCTCTCTATCTTCGCTATTTTATTTTTATAGTTGACAACCTTCTTCACTAGCCGCTAGCTCTCTCGCTTTCCCCTCTCTCTCTCTTTCTCTTTATGAGGGATGAGACTATTTTTCTCTCTTCATCTTTATATTACTAGTTTTTTTTAATTAAAAATTTCATCATATTTTTATTATTTTAAAAACTCTAAATTTCACTTTATAGGAGATTTATATAATTAAAGCCAGCAAATTATATTAGATGAGAATTATAATATTTAAATTTAAATCAAATTGCTTAAAATATGTTTATTATAAATGTTTATATATTTTGAATATACTTTTATAATAAGATGCAATTTTTATATATATTTATTGCTATTAAAATATTTTTCAGTTATATTTTTATTTAAATTAAATATGAAAATATATGATAGAAAGAAGAGTAGTTGAAATAGATTAGTATGATAATATAAAATTTTAATAAATTTGTGTTGAAATTAATTTAAATGAGCATCACAATAAGTTTTTTTTTTAATACTACGTCTTAGAGTTGCACGGATATCCAGCTCACACACAGAGAACACAAGATTTTTACGTGGAAAACGCTAAAAAAAAAGGGAAAAATCACGGGGTCTGACCTAGTTGAAAATGATTCAACTAGAACTTGAGTTGGTTACAATGGGATGACTCGCCTCCAAGGGTGATCAGATTACAAGTAACAATTATATGACAAAAGTCCGAGTGTCATGTAATGGTCCGGCAGAACTTCGGGCTTCAGGTGGTGCTCTAGCAGAACTCCGGGCCTTAGGTGGTGGTCTAGCGAAGGTGAGGGCCTCAGTTGGTGGTTCGGCGAAAGCGAGGGCCTCAAGTGGTGGTCCGGCAAAGGTGAGGGCCTCAGGTGGTGGTCCGACGAAGCTCTGGCGGTGGTCCGATGAAACTCCGACGGTGGTCGAGGAGAAGCTTCTTCCTTCTCTTCTCTTCTTCTCTTCTTACTTGTATCCTTTTTCAAGAGAAAAGAGGGGTCTATTTATATATTTCTGGAATGACATGACCCGTAAATAGGTGAGAGATCAAGGGTAAATAATGAGTGGTTGGATGGACGGCCAATGTTGAATCCTTTGGTCGTAGACTGTTTGATGGACATTTAAATGTCTTAGTGATGTCGAATT